TTCCCTCCCCCTCCCATCCCCCTCACACCCTCCACTCTCCCACCCTCTCTCCCACCCCCTCTCTCCGCCCTCCCCCCCCCACACCCTCCCTCCCCCTCCACCCTCCTTCACACCCCCCTCCTCCCTAAACCCAATCTTCCCTCAAAACCCCCCTCCCCCTCCATCTCTCCCTCACCCCTCTCTCCCCTCCCCCCCCAATCTTTCCTCACCCCCTCCCTCACCCCTCCCTCACGCCCATACCCCCAAAGTCCCCACCTCATCACACAAACATTGACACTGATATACCCATTTCACTTCTCCTCACAGGAGAGGCGCTTGTTTACGAGATCGTTGGGCCCGCACGGGGGTTAGACACACGCAAACTGCCCCTCAGCATCCACGGCAGCGTAAAATATGGTTTGCCCCCAAAATGCCGCAGCTTTTTTTATGACGAGGCTCTTCAAGGCGATTAGTCGCTAGCACAGTCCACCCGGGTTAATATTGATCCCGGGACTCTCGCTCCCCGGGAATGTTGGGATTACCTGGTTTTTACTTACCCGGCATCTCGCCCGCGGGGAAGGTGTGTACTTACCTGGGTTTTACTTACCTGGCACTCTCGTCCGCGAAAATGGTGTACTTTTCCTGGGTTGACTTTCCTGGCACTCTCGGTCCGCGGGGAATGTGTGTACTTACCTGGGTTGCTACCTGGCACCCCCGTCCGCGGAAGTTGGTACTTACCTGGTTGCTTACCTGGCACTCTCGCTCCGCGGGAAGTGTTTTTTACTTACCTAGTTGTATTACCTGGGACTCTCGCCCCGCGGGGGAAATGGTTCCCTTTCCTGGTTGTACTTACCGGGACTCTCGTTCGCGGGGAAATGTGTTTACTTACCTGGTTTACAAAACCCGGCACTCTCGCTCCGCGGGGGAAATGTGGTACTTACCTGGTTGACTTCCGGCACTCTCGTTTTGCGGGGGTGGGTACTTAATCTGGTTGACTTACCGGCACTCCCCCCCGGGGAAGTGTGTGTACTTACCTGGTTGTACTTTCCTGGCACTCCGTTTTTGCGGAAGGGGTGTATTACTGGTTTTTATTTTCCTGGCACCCCTCCCCCCCGGCAAGTGGTGTACTTACCTGGCACTCTCCTCCGCGGAAATGTGTGTACTTTCCCGTTTACTTACCCGGGCACTCTGCTCCGGGAACGGTGTACTTACCCCGGTTGTACTTACCTGGGTGCTCCCGGGGGTTGTTCTTACCTGGACTTTCCGGGTTTGTCTTACCTGGGTTTTACTTAACTGTTTTAGGTTTTATTACCTGATTGCTTACTGTTTTACTCACCGGTTGTACTCACCGGTGTACTTACCTGGTTGTACTTTCCGGGTTTTACTTTTTGGTTTTATTTTTTGGTGTACTACCGGGTACTTTGGTTGTACCCCGGGTTTTCTCCCGGTTGTACTTTCCCGGTTGTACTCTGATTGTACTTCCCGGTTGTACTCACCTGGTTGTACCCCTGGGTTTTACTCCCCGGTTGTACTCCCCTGGTTTACTCACCCCCGGTTGTATCACTGGTTGTACTACCTGGTTTTAAATCCGGTTGACTTACCCGGTTTACTTCCTGGTTGTACTCAACCCGGTTGTATTACCTGTTGTAACTTACCTGCTTGGCCCCCACCCGGTTGTACTCACCCCGGTTGTACCACCTGGGTTTTACTTACCGGTTTTAAATACCTGGTTTTTAACTTCCTATTTTTCTCACCTGGTTGTACTCCTGGTTGTATTTTAACATGGTTGTACTCACCTGCTTGTACTTACCTGTTTGTAATTAGCCGGTTTGTTCTCACCTGGTTGCTTACCTGGTTGTAACTTACATGGTTGTACTCACCTGGTTGTACTACCTGTTTGTAATTAGCCGGTTGTTCTCACCTGGTTGTACTTACCTGGTTGTACTTACCTGGTTGTACTCACCTGGTTGTACTCAACTGGTTGTATTTACATGGTTGTACTCACCTGCTTGTACTTACCTGTTTGTAATTAGCCGGTTGTTCTCACCTGGTTGTACTTACCTGGTTGTACTTACCTGGTTGTACTCACCTGCTTGTACTTACCTGTTTGTAATTAGCCGGTTGTTCTCACCTGGTTGTACTTACCTGGTTGTACTTACCTGATTGTACTTACCTACTTGCGCTCACCCGGTTGTACTCACCTGGTTGTACTCACCTGGTTGTACTCACCTGGTTGTACTTACATGGTTGTACTCACCTGCGTGTACTTACCTGTTTGTACTTAGCCGGTTGTTCTCACCTGGTTGTACTTACCTGGTTGTACTCACCTGGTTGTACTTACATGGTTGTACTTACCTACTTGTACTTACCTGCTTGTACTCACCCGGTTGTACTCACCTGGTTGTACTTACCTAGTTGTACTCACCTGCTTGTACTTACCTGCTTGTATTTACCTGTTTGTACTTACCTTGTTGTACTTACCTTGTTGTACTTACCTTGTTGTACTCACCTGCTTGTACTCATCTGGTTCTACTTATCTGGTTGTACTCACCTGGTTGTTCTTACCTGGTTGTACTTACCTGGTTGTACTCACCTAGTTGTACTTACCTGGCTGTACTCTCCTGGTTGTGCTTACCTGGTTGTACTCGCCTGCTTGTACTCATCTGGTTGTACTCACCTGCTTGTACTTACCTGATTGTACTTACCTGTTTGTACTTACCTGGTTGGGCTCACCTGGTTGTACTCTCCTGGTTGTGCTTACCTGGTTGTACTCACCTGCTTGTAATCATCTGGTTGTACTCAACTGGTTGTACTAGTACCACTACTCCTGGTACCAAGTCTACGTCCAACACTAATACTATTACTTCTACTTTTACTATTACTACTACTAATAGTAGTGCTACTAATAGTAGTATTAATAGTACTAATAGTAATATTAACAGCACTACTATAATACTATGCTAGTACGACTAGTGCAACTACTATTATTACTAGTACAGCTGCTAGTATTACTATTACTACTATTACTACTACTAATAGTAGTGCTACTAATAGTAGTATTAATAGTAATATTAATAGCACTACTATTAATACTATGCTAGTACGAGTAGTGCAACTACTATTGTTACTAGTACAGCTGCTAGTATTACTATTACTACTATTACTACAACTTCCACCCGATACCGTGTTGTTATCTAATTTTTTTTGCCAAAGTTATGACTTGACAATGGTCCAGAAAGGGGCGAAACATCGTCACAACGTTTCCCTCCTATATACGGGCTTCTGATGAATTGTTCCAGTAATGGAACACTTAAGTCATGGAACAAATCATTGCATATGAGCTGTATGATCCATAAGAGTTTAGCGCTCAAGGAGGGATATTATAATGATCTAGGGAATAGTGGTATGGTTGTCTTCTTAGTAGTTGTGAGTGAGGAAGCCGAGTCGTAGCTCCTGGACCCATAATAATTGACGGTAACTGATGCTGTTACCTGGTATAAAAGAAACTGAGGTAAACACCTGGACACAACGTTTCGCTCCCGGGACCTGGATCTAGAGCCCAGGACCGAAATATTTTGTAATATATCCTGGTGTTCGGTCACATGACCATTTTAAATCATACCTATTCTTTAAGCTACGTAAAGAATCCGCCTCAACTGCCACATCATCCAGTTTATTTCACTGTATATTTTCCCACGTAAATAAAATTTTTTAATTAAATCTCGGGCCCCATATATATATATATATATATATATATATATATATATAATATATAATATATATATATATATAAATATAAAATAATATATATATTATATGTAAATATGATAGTTAATAAGTAATATGTATATAAGTAAATGTATATATATGATATTATAAAAAATTATATGTAAAAATATGATATTAAAAAATAATATTAAATAAGTATATGATATGTATAAAATTATATGAATATAAAAATGTATATTATATAATATGTATATTAAAATATAAGTAAATGTTTTATAATTATATGTAAAATAAATGTAAAATAACTAAAAGTATATGTATATATATGTAAAATTAAATAATTATATGTAATATATATATGTAAAAATTAAAAGTATATAAATGTAATGTAATAATATGTATATGTATATGAAATATAATGTAATGTATATAATGTATATAATAATATGTATATTATAATATGATATGTAAATATATATATTATAAAATATTATAAAATAATAATATAATAAATATATATATATATAAATATATATATATATATATATATAATATTATATAGGTTGGTAGACAGCAACCCGCCCAGAGGTACAAACCGTCCTGCCAAGTATTTAAAACGAACCCTGTAATTGTTTTAACATAATGGTAGATGCTGGTTCCTTTTTTCTGTCTCATGAACATGCAAGATTTCAGGAAACGTTGCAACTTTCTACTTACACCTGGTCCACTACACATACATGTACAAGCACATATATACACACCCTCTGGTTTTCTTCATTTTCTTTCTAGTTCTTATTCTTGTTTATTTCCTCTTATCTCCATGGGAAGTGAACAGAATTCTTCCTCCGTAAGCCATGCGTGTTGAAGAGGCGACTAAAATGCCGGAGAAAGGGGGCTAGTAACCCCTTCTGCTGTATATATTACTAAATGTAAAAGAGAAACTTTTGTTTTCCTTTTGGGCCACCCTGCCCGGTGGGATACGGCCGGTGTGTTGAAAGAAAATAAAATATGGGGCCTGAGATTTTAAGTAAAAAATTTTATATATTAATATATATATATATATAATATATATATATATAATATATAAATATATTATATATTTTAAATCTTCCGGTTTACCGAAATTTTTACTGAGCATTTTCAAAAATTTCCAGAACATTTGTATGCATTATTAAGAAATAAATAAGTTATTATTATTATTATTATTATTATTATTATTATTATTATTATTATTGATAACTTTCTCTTGATAAATTGTTCCGTAACCTTCCTCCGTTTTCTCCCTACTGCAGACGGATGTTCCCTACAGTGAGAGTGTCCTTCACGGGTCTCAAGAGTGAGGATCGCTACCTGGTGCTCCTGGATATCGTCCCTATGGACAATAAGAGATACAGGTGTGTGTCTGTGTGTATGTTTGCAGTGTAATTACACATTTGTAACTACAGTAGCACAGTTATTCCCCTGGTGACCTGTATTTAGAGCTCTGATCATATATATATCGTATCTTGGCTTAAATAGCAACGCTCTTCTTGCCGAAAAAGGCAAACCAAAATTTGTGTATGCAATAATTTCGCAAAAATTATTCTGAACCTAACGATAAAAATATGTTTAATTACCTTTGTTTATTAGTAATTATTGTAAATTCATCTAAAATATATTTATTTGGATTAGGCTAAATTCAATTGCGCTTGTTATAATAAGGTTAGGTAAGTTTCTTAAGGTTCTTTTGGGACAAAATTATTAATTTTTACATTAACATAAATTAAAAGATGTCTTTAAACACATAAGAGAAAATTTTAGAAAGGACTTAATTTTAAATGAGTTCTTGCTAATTGACCAGTTTTACCTATTCGGCACGATATATATAATATATATATATATATATATAATATATATATATAATATTATATAATATATATATATATATATATATATATAATCAATAACAACATTGCGACTAGCAAAGGCTCGAACCAAGCTCTTTGGCCCGCCTCAATAGCGAACGAAAACACACGACTCAGCAACTCACAGGACCAGTAGGACTGCGTGGTCCTGTGGGTTAGAGCGTGATGTGTTTTCGCTCACCATGAGGCGGGCCAAAGCAGCATGGGTTCGAGTCCTTGGCTAGTCGCAGTGTTGTTACTGATCAATAGCACTCGTTCGTGGTTACAATAATTATTATATATATATATATATATATATATATATATATATATATATATATATATATATATATAATATATATATATATAATAACAGTTTCCAGTGTTTGAAGAGCCTGCTAATCTCTGTTTTAATGTATTCCACTGGCCAGCCACTCTAACAAGAAAACACTTCTGTTGCCCTTTCCACCCTTCAATTTGCCACAGTGGCTTCGTGTTATCCCTGCTGTAGGTACTAAGAAATCTTCTTTACCTATTTTTTCATGTGTGTGTGTGTGTGTGTGTGTGTGTGTACTCACCTAATTGTATTTACCTAATTGTAATTACAGGGGCCGAGACTCAGCTCCTGGCCCCGCCTCTTCACTGATCGCTACTAGGTGCTCTCTCTGCTCCCTGAGCTTTGTCATACCTCGTCTTAAAGCTATGTATTGTTCCTGCCTCCACTACATCACTTGCTAGGCTATTCCACTTCCTGACGACTCTGTGTGTATGTGTATGCGCTTCGGTGATAGGTTGGGTGTGATGTAGACCTGTGAATCTAGCACACGTAAGGGTTGTACATCGTCTATAACATGTTCTCTCCTTGCTCTCTCTTCCTCGTCATTCATTCTCATATACATTACCTCCTATTCATGTCCAGTAACATCTTATCTGTACCATTCCTGTCAAGACATTCGTAGAATTTCTGGCAGTGTTTACTCTCCTCTATACTTTCTTATCTGAATACAGTGATAAAAATGTTTTACAATTTGCGAAGTGTTACAATTTGCGAAGTGAATGAAATTATTTCCAAACGTTATTTCAGACTGGAACGCTTTTACGAATTGTTAAGAGGCACGTAAGTTCCTCCGTCTTCTAATATCATGTTCATTTTTCCACTATAATCTTCCTTGTCCATAATTACCATCGCATTTGCTTAGTTTCGTAAGGTGAAGTCCAGGATCTTTCCTTAATTCATGGTATAACTTAACAAATCTTTGAGGACAACTGTGTTGCAGAGATCTCAGCTTTGCTCAGACCTCTGCAACACAACTATCCTCAGAGATTTGTTAAGTTATACCATGAATTAAAGGAAGATCCTGGACTTCACCTTACGAAGCAGAGAAAGCAAATGTGATAGTAATTATGGACAAGGTAGATTATAGTGGAAAAATGAACATGATACTAGAAGACGGAGGAACTTCAACCTCAAACCTTCTAAAATCTCTGATTGGCTGGGGATGAAAGGTAACAAGTGGAAGACTAAGCTGGTGGCTGCGAGTATGGTAAACGACTCATAGTGGCTACTGGGCGTCTAGCTGTGTGGCGCAATACTTCGTGCTTTTGATACAGAGTACATAGTTTTGAATTTTGCCCTGGTCTGAGATAATGTTTTTACACACACACACACACACACACACACACACACACACACACACACACACACACACACACACACACACACACACACACACACACACACACACACATTTTGCACTCAGATACGCTTACTACCGCGGACCCTCCACTACCGGTATTTCCTCTAATACTAGTGCTACTACTACACTACTACTACTATTACTATTACTACTACTACTAATACTACTAATAATATTATTACTATTACTATTATTACTACTGCTATTACTACTGTTACTCTTACTACTATTACTCTTACTACTACTACTATTACTGTTGCTATTACTATTATTACTACTACTATTACTACTACTACTATTACTATTATTGCTACTACTATTACTGTTGCTATTACTACTACTAGTGATAATGTCCACACAGGTACGCGTACCACCGGTCGTCGTGGTTGGTAGCAGGAAAAGCGGACCCACCGCCTCCCTACCGTCTCTACGCTCACCCTGACTCACCCTACACCGGCGACCAACTCAAGAAGCAGATTGTCTCCTTCGAGAAAGTCAAACTCACCAACAACGAGATGGACAAACACGGCCACGTAAGTAGTGAATATCAGTAAGTAGTGAATATCAGTAAGTAGTGAATATCAGTAAGTAGTGAATATCAGTAAGTAGTGAATATCAGTAAGTAGTGAATATCAGTAAGTAGTGATATCAGTATATCAGTTTACCTGGAGTTCACCTGGAGAGAGTTCCGGGGGTCAACGCCCCCGCGGCCCGGTCTGTGACCAGGCCTTATGGTGAATCAGAGCCTGATCAACCAGGCTGTTACTGCTGGCTGCACGCAATCCAACGTACGAGCCACAGCCCGGCTGGTCAGGTACTGACTTTAGGTGCTTGTCCAGTGCTTACTTGAAGACAGCCAGGGGTCTATTGGTAATCCCCTTTATGTATTCCGGGAGGAAGTTGAACAGTCTCGGGCCCCTGACACTTATTGTATGGTCTCTTAACGTGCTAGTGACACCCCTGCTTTTCATTGGGGAGGATGTTGCATCGTCTGCCGAGTCTTTTGCTTTCGTTGTGAGTGATTTTCGTGTGCAAGTTCAGTACTAGTCCCTCTAGGATTTTCCAGGTAAGATTTTTCAGTAAGTATATCAGTAAATAGTGAATATCAGTAAGTAGTGAATATCAGTAAGTAGTGAATATCAGTAAATAGTGAATATCAGTAAGTATGAATATCAGTAAGTAGTGAATATCAGTAAGTAGTGAATATCAGTAAGTAGTGAATATCAGTAAGTAGTGAATATCAGTAAGTAGTGAATATCAGTAAGTAGTGAATATCAGTAAGTAGTGAATATCAGTAAGTAGTGAATATCAGTAAGTAGTGAATATCAGTAAGTAGTGAATATCAGTAAATAGTGAATATCAGTAAATAGTGAATATCAGTAAGTAGTGAATATTAGTGAGTCATGGTCAGTGTTTATTCAGCAATATAACATTCAATAATACGATTTTTTTCCAGTCCTGTTGAAAATTCGCGAATATTTTTGAAAGCGTTTTCAAAGGGCAAGCAATGGCCCTCAAGTGATGATTTTAATGTAATTTCAGTATTTTTTAAGAAATCTAAGCAACCGTTCTTAACACACAATAAAAATTCTTAGTAAATTACAAATAACATATACTTAAGCTTTACGTAGTATACATATGAACACTCTGACGTTACAACATGAATGGCGTACGATACTGACATGATAAAATATTAGTCTGTCTATACTAGTTGATGTATTATACTGATGGAGCCACTGAACGTGATATTTCACTCGTGTTTATTGTAATTCATAAGACCACTGACACGTCAAGTCGTGTGGAATCCTGCCTGTGTACTCAGCTACACTCCCGTGTTCCTCCTGCAGATCGTACTCAACTCGATGCACAGATACCAGCCCAGGATCCACCTGGTGAGGCGCCACGATTCCGGTCAGGGACCCGTCGCGGACCTCGATCTGGAAGACCACAAAACGTTCATCTTCCCTGAAACAGTGTTCACTGCCGTCACTGCCTATCAGAACCAGTTGGTAAGTACCGTTACTGCCTATCAGAATCAGTTGGTAAGTAGTACCTGTCAGAGGTGCAGTTGCTTGACTTGATACCTATGGAAATAAGTCACTTCGACTTTTTTGGGGTCGGGTCACAATCAAAATGACCCGGGTTTGATTTCTGGGTGATGCGAGATGTATACACTTGTCTCCTTCTATTACCCACTGTTTAATTACCATTAAATAATATCTAGGACATAATCGACTAATATAAGTCGCATCATGGGGGAGGAAGAAGTACCAGAGGGAAGAGCAAGCCATGGTATATAGCTTTGGGTTATTAATCCTCCTCAGGGTTAATAAGTTAATTCACTATTGAGCGAAACGTTGTGCAAAGTCAAGATTTTCTGCATTGCGGATCTTTAAACCCGTTGTTGAGAATATTTGTGTGAGGTGAGACAAATTATGAGAGAGAGAGAGAGAGAGAGAGAGAGAGAGAGAGAGAGAGAGAGAGAGAGAGAGAGAGAGAGAGAGAGAGAGATATTAGCAACCTCGACGAGACTAATAGAGAAAAAAAACAAAGCCTAAATAGTTGCCATTAATTCATTATTATTTTTTGAGAATTTTCTCAGCGTCATCTATTACACGAGTTGCCACACTCAGCACTGGTTGCCACACTCAGCACTGGTTGCCACACTCAGCACTGGCTGCCACACTCAGCACTGGCTGCCACACTCAGCACTGGTTGCCACACTCAGCACTGGTTGCCACACTCAGCACTGGTTGCCACACTCAGCACTGGCTGCCACACTCAGCACTGGCTGCCACACTCAGCACTGGTTGCCACACTCAGCACTGGTTGCCACACTCAGCACTGGCTGCCACACTCAGCACTGGCTGCCACACTCAGCACTGGTTGCCACACTCAGCACTGGTTGCCACACTCAGCACTGGTTGCCACACTCAGCACTGGTTGCCACACTCAGCACTGGCTGCCACACTCAGCACTGGTTGCCACACTCAGCACTGGTTGCCACACTCAGCACTGGCTGCCACACTCAGCACTGGTTCCCACACTCAGCACTGGTTGCCACACTCAGCACTGGTTGCCACACTCAGCACTGGCTGCCACACTCAGCACTGGCTGCCACACTCAGCACTGGTTGCCCACACTCAGCACTGGTTGCCACACTCAGCACTGGTTGCCACACTCAGCACTGCTGCCACACTCAGCACTGGCTGCCACACTCAGCACTGGTTGCCACACTCAGCACTGGTTGCCACACTCAGCACTGGCTGCCCACACTCAGCACTGGTTGCCACACTCAGCACTGGTTGCCACACTCAGCACTGGTTGCCACACTCAGCACTGGTTGCCACACTCAGCACTGGCTGCCACACTCAGCACTGGTTGCCACACTCAGCACTGGTTGCCACACTCAGCACTGGCTGCCACACTCAGCACTGGCTGCCACACTCAGCACTGGTTGCCACACTCAGCACTGGTTGCCACTCAGCACTGGTTGCCACACTCAGCACTGGTTGCCACTCAGCACTGGTTGCCACACTCAGCACTGGTTGCCACTCAGCACTGGTGCCACACTCAGCACTGGTTGCCACACTCAGCACTGGTTGCCACACTCAGCACTGGCTGCCACACTCAGCACTGGCTGCCACACTCAGCACTGGCTGCCACACTCAGCACTGGCTGCCACACTCAGCACTGGTTGCCACACTCAGCACTGGTTGCCACACTCAGCACTGGTTGCCACACTCAGCACTGGTTGCCACACTCAGCACTGGTTGCCACACTCAGCACTGGCTGCCACACTCAGCACTGGTTGCCACACTCAGCACTGGTTGCCACACTCAGCACTGGTTGCCACACTCAGCACATGGCTTCAGACTTGAATACCTAACGTCCATTTCCAGAATGGCTTCAGTCTTTAATAGCTGACGTGCCTTTTAAGAACGGCTTAAGTCTTCAGTGGCTGACGGAGCTTATGAGCAGACTGGTACCTAAGACTTTTGGGATTCGTAGATGCATATTTTTCAATTTATTACAAAGTTTAATAAAAATGACAACACTGGTACATAATTCCGACAAGCCGAGGAAGGAGACATAGGTGCGGTACCTGAGTATCTTAATGTGAAGACGTGTTGCAGACCAGTAGCATTTTTCAGTTCCATACGGAGATGGCATACAAAGTCAGTAGTTAATGTAATCAGTCCCTCCCCAGCCTTGCCTTGCAGAACTTTAAACAGAAGAGAGTATAAGACGTGGTCCCTCATCCCACACAGCGTCACACACACACACACACACACACACACACACACACACACACACACACACGAATAAATAAGAGTAAGAAGAGAAGCTGAGTGACGGTATGAGAATGGCATGAGCAGGAAAGTCAAGTTAGAACCACTGTTTCATCCCCGTTACACCAGAAGAAAGACCACAGTAAAAGACCAGACAATAGGAGTGAAACAGGAAGAAGAGCTTAGGAAGGCTGCAAGGAGCGGAACGGACAATTTAAGTGTTCTTGGTGAGAACAGCGGCAACACCAGAGAGTCAAACACAACGGGTTTAAATATAATTAAGGAGGTGGACTGGTAAGCCAGTGGAAGGCCTCGATCAGATGACCAAAGGCACCATCATATGCGTGTCATCATATGACTAAGACCCACGTTAGGAAACACTTGTCCCTTTTCCTTACTTCTGGACACAATACACTTAACTGGGAAAGAGGTGGAAAATAAGTATTTTTGAAAGAGCAATGGGACCTGAAAATGTGTCTCCATGCGTTTTGAGAGAGGCAGACGAAACACTATATGACCCAATAAATGAAAATTACAAGTCAAATGATATGGGCAATTGCCAGAGGTCTGGAAGACAGCAAATGTAATTCCAATATTTAAGAAAGGAGAAGGGAAGCATTAAACCAGAGACCATTATCTCTGGCATGTGTAGTAAGGTGGTAGAGATCATCAGGAAGAGTGGTAGAGCACTTGGAGAGAAGTGGTTCTATAAACGATAATCAGTACTGGTTTAGAGATGGTCAATGTTAAATCATAAACCTCTTGGAGTTCTTTTGCTAAATACAAGAAGTGAAGCAAGAGAGAGAGAGAGAGAGAGAGAGAGAGAGAGAGAGAGATAAATTGCAGAGCCATGAGGAGCAGACACTAACAGAGAAGACGCACCAGTAGATCAAAGAGCATCTTACAGGAAGACAACAGTGATGATTGTCCGAGAAATCAGAGTATAAAATAAAAAAATGCGTGTACTGCTACTCGTGGCTGTTGTATCGCTGTTGTTGCTGGTGCTGCTGCTAGTGTTACTACTGGTGCTGCTGCTAGTGTTACTACTGGTGCTGCTGCTAGTGTTACTACTGGTGTTGCTGCTAGTGTTACTACTGGTGCTGCTGCTAGTGTTACTACTGGTGCTGCTGCTAGTGTTAAACCATACCCCCGGCCGGGATTGAACCCGCGGTCATAGAGTCTCAAAACTCCAGCCCGTCGCGCTAGCCACTAGACCAGCCAGCCACAATAAGATTCATCCAACTAGGTATATTTCTACACCATAGGAAAGTTAGCACAGGCACCTCTGTGGCCACAAATGCAAGTTTTTACAGACGAATCTCCAGCTAGCGTGGCCGTGGCGAACTCTAGCTCAAGTCCCTTCACTGCCGTCAACATGACTTAAGAAATCGTAATGACACGATTGCAAATAAACCATACCCCCGGCCGGGATTGAACCCGCGGTCATAGAGTCTCAAAACTCCAGCCCGTCGCGCTAGCCACTAGACCAGCCAGCCACAATAAGATTCATCCAACTAGGTATATTTCTACACCATAGGAAAGTTAGCACAGGCACCTCTGTGGCCACAAATGCAAGTTTTTTACAGACGAATCTCCAGCTAGCGTGGCCGTGGCGAACTCTAGCTCAAGTCCCTTCACTGCCGTCAACATGACTTAAGAAATCGTAATGACACGATTGCAAATAAACCATACCCCCGGCCGGGATTGAACCCGCGGTCATAGAGTCTCAAAACTCCAGCCCGTCGCGCTAGCCACTAGACCAGCCAGCCACAATAAGATTCATCCAACTAGGTATATTTCTCTACACCATAGGAAAGTTAGCACAGGCACCTCTGTGGCCACAAATGCAAGTTTTTACAGACGAATCTCCAGCTAGCGTGGCCGTGGCGAACTCTAGCTCAAGTCCCTTCACTGCCGTCAACATGACTTAAGAAATCGTAATGACACGATTGCAAATAAACCATACCCCCGGCCGGGATTGAACCCGCGGTCATAGAGTCTCAAAACTCCAGCCCGTCGCGCTAGCCACTAGACCAGCCAGCCACAATAAGATTCATCCAACTAGGTATATTTCTACACCATAGGAAAGTTAGCACAGGCACCTCTGTGGCCACAAATGCAAGTTTTTACAGACGAATCTCCAGCTAGCGTGGCCGTGGCGAACTCTAGCTCAAGTCCCTTCACTGCCGTCAACATGACTTAAGAAATCGTAATGACACGATTGCAAATAAACCATACCCCCGGCCGGATTGAACCCGCGGTCATAGAGTCTCAAAACTCCAGCCCGTCGCGCTAGCCACTAGACCAGCCAGCCACAATAAGATTCATCCACTAGGTATATTTCTACACCATAGGAAAGTTAGCACAGGCACCTCTGTGGCCACAAATGCAAGTTTTTACAGACGAATCTCCAGCTAGCGTGGCCGTGGCGAACTCTAGCTCAAGTCCCTTCACTGCCGTCAACATGACTTAAGAAATCGTAATGACACGATTGCAAATAAACCATACCCCCGGCCGGGATTGAACCCGCGGTCATAGAGTCTCAAAACTCCAGCCCGTCGCGCTAGCCACTAGACCAGCCAGCCACAATAAGATTCATCCAACTAGGTATATTTCTACACCATAGGAAAGTTAGCACAGGCACCTCTGTGGCCACAAATGCAAGTTTTTTACAGACGATTCTCCAGCTAGCGTGGCCGTGGCGAACTCTAGCTCAA